TATAAACACTACAACTGGCTGGCACGTACATGCTCCCTTTTGAGGTCCGTTAGACGTACATGCCTTAAATAAATGCATGTCCTCAGTAGCTCTCAGTTTGCTCATCACAGACCGTCCACTCCCTTCAGCACCCAGGCAGGTGTTTAACATCATCCCCTCTGGACTCCAAAAGCTCCCAGTGTGAGCACATGTAAGACCTGATGGTTTGCCTTCCTCTTAAGCCAATCTCCCCCTCTGGAAAGTGAATAACTTGAGGGCAAGAAATTTTATCCTGTTCACCTCTAAATTCTCAACTCCTGACATACAAAATCTTACCAAGTGAATGGATGGGTGGGTGCATGGGTGGATATATGGATTGGTGGATGGTGGGTGGATGACTGGTAAATGGATGGATAGATGAATGGATAGATGATGGACAGACAGATGGACAGATGACATATGGATGGATGGTATGCAAATAAGTGTATGGGTGGATATATGGATATATCTTTATGATACCATACTGGTTTCAAATCCAATAAAAAAACCAATAAAGCAATGAAATCAACACGAATTCATCAATTTATTATTAAAGTGCCTTGTGGGAACTGGAGAAACGGCTCAGTAGACAAGAGCACTTGTTGCCCTCAAAGGGGATCTGGGTTCAATCGTCAGCACTCAATGGTGGCATATAACCATTTATAATCCCAGTTCTTGAGGGTTCAACAGGTACAGGTGCACATGGGTGTGGGAACACCAGACCTTGAGCAGAGACCCACTTCCCCTTCTGCCTGGGAGTAGGCAGCTGTAAGACAATGTTTACTAAAAACAATACAATGCCTGGGGGCATTAAGTTCCTGGAAAAGGCCTGCCCGCAGAAACCACCCTGACCTCGACCTTGTCCAAAGACTAACCACCTCTTCTGCCACGCCCAGATCAGTTTTTGGGTGAGAGCAGAACCAGCCAGGGGAGAGGAGAGAGCAGAAGCTTCTCTGGTGGGAGCCTTTCTTAGGAAGTTTTCTTGAACCTTTTTGGAGCCTGTTTAAAGTTTTCTTTACATCGTTGAACGAGTCTCTGTGTTGTCAATCCCCGACACCCTCCGCACGTTCTCGGACACAGGCCGAGCAGCAGACGCGACAATTGGAGGTTCTACCGAGATCGTGAAATCGAGGTAAGTGGACGGGGTCGTCCCTTTTGCCAGCTAGGGACAGATGGAGGAAAATAGGAAAAGAAACAATGGGAAATAGTCCCTGGAAGTTTAAATTACAGTATCACGTAAAAAAGTTGCTTGAAGAACAGGGGACTACAACCATGGCAGGCTTTTTAAAATGGATTGAACGAGGGAGCCCATGGTTCATTAGTGGGGAAGGCTTAAATGTCCCAGATTGGGAGGATGTTTGCTATGATATTCAGAGAGCTGGGTGTTGGTGGCATACGCCTTTAATCCCAACACTCGGGAGGCAGAGATAGGAAGGAATGAGGCCATCCTGGTCTATAGAGCAAGTTCCAGGACAGCCTCCAAAAGGATACAGAGAAACCCAGTCTCAAAAAAAAAAAAAAAAAGAAAGAAAGAAAAGAAAAGAAAAAAAGAAAAAGAAAAAGAAAAAAAAAGAAATAAAAAAGGGTAAAATAAGAAATAAAATAAAAAATCTCCAGTCTTTCGCCTGATCCACTGAGGTCAGGAAAGTAAAGGGGAACTGAGAGATCTAAAAGGCTAGCCAGTAAGGCTATGTGGATGTGTTAAAAAGGGGGTACAAAGCTAGGGGTACCAGATTAAATCTCCAGGCCTTCACCTGAGAAAGGTCAGGAAAGTAAGGGGACCCTGAGAGATTGCCCTCAGTTGGAGGGGGGATTGGATTAAATCTCTAGGCCTTAGTCTGACACTAAGGTCGGGAAAAAGGGGAACCCAGAGATTGCCCTCAATTGGAGGGTGGATTGTGTAAATCTTAAGGCTTTTTGCATGAGGGAACATCCTGGGTTGAAAGTTGGATTGAAAATGGGTGAATAGCCAGGCGTTGGCGGCACATGCCTTTAATCCCAGTACTCGGGAGACACAGGCAGGCAGATCTCTTGAGTTCAAGGCCAGCCTGGTTTACAGAGCAAGTTCCAAGACAGCCTCCAAATAATACAGAAAAAAAAATTGGTAACAAGCTGGGCGGTGGTGGCACACGCCTTTAATCCCAGCACTTGGGGAGGCAGAGGCAGGCGTATCTCTGTGAGTTCGAGGCCAGGCTGGACTGACAGCCTCAAACAATACAGAGAAACCCTGATTTTAAAAAAAAAAAGGGTGAAAAAAAAATTTGTAACAGTAAAGAGGTACTGGTATTAAGTAAAGAAAAAGAAAAAGACAAAGGTATATGGAATGAAAAATTGTTGTTTACATTTAAATTCTATTTTGTGAGTCATCTCTAAAAACTTTTGGCCAAAAGCTTGGCCTCTCCACCTTGCATCTACAGTTACAAGGAGTAGGTACAGCTGTACCCCATGACTGTAGCTCAAATGGAGGAATGATAAAGAACATACAGGACTTTTTAACCTTTTAGTTCAAGGATTGGCTGGAGTTGTTCTTTTACATAGATTTCAATTAAGGAAGCTTCATTGCAACAGACTAATCATGACCTAGTGAAAAAGGATGACTGAAAGATGCATGTATGTTCTGAATGTATGGTGTGGCCACACCGGTATGTATGAAATGTGATTGTGAATGCGTGAGTGTGAACTGCTTATATGATTAAAAGGATACTTAAATCCCTTCAAAAATAGTTAAGAAGCTACCTAGATTGCTTTAAATATAGCCAAAAGGAACATCCAGCCAGTCTGCTAATGTTTTAACAGAAAAATTTAAGATGCAAATGAGGCCTTGTCAGCTAGTGAGAGCTCTACAGGTTAGATTGGGAAAGACTGCTCACAGACTTCAAATAATTTTAAAAAGTTACTTGGACACAGTATAGTTTACAATCTTTGAGTGATTTTCAGAAGTTTTTGGGAAATATTTAATGGATATGTCCTTTTTAATGGGCATCTACAAATAATCTAAGTAGTAATCCCAATTTACCTAGATAGTCAACCAAGGAGGGTAGACAAATCCTTCTACTATTATGGTCCAGCTTCAACAGTTCAAAAAAATTTTTTAGAAAATAAAAAAGGGGGAATAATGTCCCCAGTCCCCATATGACTCATCAAATAATACACTCCTCATTTAAAAATTTTATAATGTGAATGCCAGTGAGCTTCAGACAGATTCTGGCATGATGGAACTTGAGCAACTATTGCTCAGGTCAAATGGAGACATCCATGCACTAGACAGTGGAGAAGACCCTAATTTGGGGTCGAGGGCATGTTTGTGTTTTCTTGCAGGAAAAGAATAAAGCTTCGGCAGCTGTCAGACCATTTAGTGAGATGCATGGAGCAGAGAAAAACTGGACCTGAGACCATGGGAGCCTACCTAAGCCAGTTTGAGTGAGATCTCCTAAATCAGTGTTCCTGAACCTTGATGTCATCGAATCTAGAGCCCAAGAAAGAAAGAAAACAGTCGGTTCGAGATTTCCAGTTTCTCAACAGACCTGCTGCATCAACCTTCCGGACCCATGAGTTTTCATCGTGAAGCCAACAGAGAAAAAAGGACCCATTTAAAACATTTGGACATTGGTATGGACTGTGATGAGGGGCAAAAGCCTCTTTTCAGTAATTGAACAGGACATGGTCACTTGAAATATCAGACTTGATGGTTCCTGTTTCTGGAATCACGACTAGGCCAGTGTATTTTTCTAGAGAGATGCAACTTGTCCTAATGCGACAAAAAGGAGACTTTGACTCAAGTCGCATAATCAGCTGACGTTAAATCAACAAACTGCATCACCACAGAAACAAATTGGTGCTCTGTGGATAGTGCAACAAGCCTATTGTTCATATTTTTCATAATGCTCCATGTGTAACATCAATGATTGTACCTAATGTATCTGTGCAAGTGCACTTTCTAAATGCTTTCCTGAGCAGATCTTGGAACAATTGTAAACTTTATCAAATTGTAAATGTAAATCACATGCGGGTTACCCTTGTAACAGAATGTAAATCACGTGTGGGTTACCCTTGTAACAGACGAAGGCTGGTAGAATGTTATGGCCCAGATCTGGTGATGGGTACGGTGATGGAGAGGCGCTATGTCAATGGGGGTCCTGGAAATGGTGGCAGTGGCGGTAGGCATTCTGGCTTTATGCCGAGCTCAAAGGTGCCTTGTTCCAGAGGCAAGAGATCCGTAACCAAGTATTGCTTAGCCTAGCCCATGGCAATCCCGATAGCCATGAAGGTTGGTTACAGATGATTTAAAGTTGGGGTGCTCTGATGACGGGCAACCTGTGGGGAAGACCCCTCCCACCTACGACAGGGGTTCAAGGTCCCCCAAGGACGGGAAAGGGAGGGTGACCCTACTTGACCTAAGCCAGGAGTGCCTCATTTAAAAATAAAAAGGGGTGAATTGTGGGAACACCAGACCTTGAGCAGAGACCCACTTCCCCTTCTACCTGGGAGTAGGCAGCTGTAAGACAATGTTTACTAAAAACATGTTTACTAAAAACAATACAATGCCTGGGGGCATTAAGTTCCTGGAAAAGGCCTGCCCACAGAAACCACCCTGACCTCGACCTTGTCCAAAGACTAACCACCTCTTCTGCCACGCCCAGATCAGTTTTTGGGTGAGAGCAGAACCAGCCAGGGGAGAGGAGAGAGCAGAAGCTTCTCTGGTGGGAGCCTTTCTTAGGAAGTTTTCTTGAACCTTTTTGGAGCCTGTTTAAAGTTTTCTTTACATCGTTGAACGAGTCTCTGTGTTGTCAATCCCCGACACCCTCCGCACGTTCTCGGACACAGGCCGTGCAGCAGACGCGACACATGGGTGTATATACATGCACATACGAACACTCATACATATAAAACAAGTAAACCTGAAAATAAGTACTTCACACTGTCTACACCTCCAACAAAAGCTGGAATGACACAAAGCATTGCTTGGCATTCTCGAGACTCACCTCATTCCTTCAGAAGCCATCTTGTCAAGATGAGCGGTGCCCTTTGTTTCTGCCCAGTTCGCTCCCAGGTCACCCCATCCCATATCATCAGCCAAGATGATCACAATGTTTGGTTTGGGGGCTCTTGTTTTCCCACTGATCGAGAAATCCAGAAGAGGGCAGAGAAATCCAGAGAAGGTCATGCCGACCAACAAAACCTTTAGAAAAAGCCAGCCCATGGTGGCACACAAAGACTCCTGTTGTCTCGATCGAGTGATAATAGGCTGCCACCAAGGATTTCTCTAAGAGTTTTCTCTTTATTCACCTTGAGTGCAGGAAGCCACCAAGAAGCATGGGTCCAGCTGGCAAAAACACACTGGTGTTAATAATGGCTACAGGAATGGTAGAAGGCACAGAAAAAAAAAGGTTCCTGTCTAGAACCCTAACCCAAGGGTCAGGAAACATGGCACCCTAAAGTAGATTGGTCCCCTGAAGATGTCTTCTCATCACAGCTTAATGAGATGATTGGCTGAGTGGAGCATTCAGATATCAGTGTCAATAACCACTCTTTGGCCACTTAACAAGTAAGTGACCCTCTGCACTCAGGGAGGCTAGGACCACAGCACAAGCCTTGCATCTGCTTAGGACTCCATCTGGTGACTGCAGGATAAATTCTCACATCTGCAGAACACCTGCACGCTCTCAAAGCCACGGTCAACTCCAAACGAGTTTCTGAGTTCCAGATGGTTGAGGTTTCTGTAAAGTTTCCTAAAAGAGCAAAATTTGACAAGAAAACAACAGAGTTGAAACAGCCAGACCAGTTGTACTGTAGTCAGTAGCTTGGGAGATAATCACTTTTCCATGCCAACAGAAGTTTTCCTTCTCGTCTGAATGCTTAACTGGCTCCTCGGTCTCTTCCACCTAAAAAGCAGGGATGACAATAATATTTACAACAGACCTATAGTAACAGGGCTGGCGGTAACATTATATTACATTACTTCTTAGAACTCACACATGCGAAAGGTGAGGGTATTGAGGTTCAACACAGTGAGTGAGACGAATACCAGCCAGACCCCAGCCTGCTAATCCCCTCCCCAAGTGCTTCCCCACCCCCACCACCACAAGTGCTTAAACTCCTTGACAATTCGAGAGGAAGATGTAAAGTCTCGTCAAGAAGACACAATTGTTTGTAACGTCCATGCTATGACCTAACATTTCCATAGGAAACTCTTGGCAGAGGCTCGGGGTAAAGCCTATTGGCAGAGTGCTTACCTGGAACACACAAAGCCCTAGGTTTGATCCCCCAGCACCTCATGAACCATGCGTGGTTACTGTCTGGCTGTAATGCCAGCATTTGGGATGTAGAGACAGGAAGACCGGACTCCCCCAGTAATCCTCAGCTAGTCTGAGACCAGTCCGAGACACCTAAGGCACTGTCTCAAAGCAAATAGCCTCCCCCAGAGAAATTAACTTAGGGGAAAAAAAGAGAACCATGGAAACAAAGTTTATAATAGGTTCTAGGTGTGTCTTCTCTCTAAAATGCATTCGGTTTTTCTGTATGCTCGTAAATGGTCATAATTAGGCCAGGCGGTGGAGGCGCGTGCTTTTAATCCCAGCACTCAGGAGGTAGAGGCAGGTGGATCTCTGTGAGTTCAAGGCCAGCCTGATCTACAGAGGAAGTTTCAGGGCAGACTCCAAAGCTACACAGAGAAACCCTGTCTTGAAAAACCAAAATAATAATAACAATGATGATGATGATAATGTTCAAAATTAAATGCTGTCCAAAAAGTTGCAAAGAATTAATAGAAACATGTCCCTGTATATTCTGATCTTTACTTTTTTAGTAAGAACATCTGTCTGGGAGGTGTAGCTCACTGGCAGAGTGTCGATTTAGCATGCACAAGGCCCTGATTTCATCCCTATCCATACCACAAAAAGCAAACGAACAGCAACAACAAAACATTTAATCAACGATTCTCACACTTGGATGTGCATACAAATTAGCAACCTCAGAGATGAGGATGTAACTCGGTTCGTAGGGTGCTTGCCTACCATACATATGTACAAAGTCCTGGATTCAATCCCCTGTGCATGGGGGGGAGTAAAGGAAGGAAGGAAGGAGGGAGGGAGGGAGGGAGGGAGGGAGGGAGGGAGGGAAGCAAGGAAGCAAGGAAGGAGAAAATAAAATTCAATGGGAAGGCTGGGACTGTTTTCTGTTTGTTGCACTGATTTTTCAAGACAAGATCTCTTGTAGCTCAAACTCAGTATACAGCAGATGACCTTGAATTCCTGGCCCTCCTACTGTTACCTCCCTCAAGCTGGGATTACAGGTGTGAACCATCACATCTGGTTTTGAGATATGAATTTGAGCAAGTTCCCAGGTGAGATCTACATCATTTGCCCTTGGTTCACTCTTGGAATAAGCAAGATGTTGGGGAATAAAAATATCATGACTCCAGGCCTAGAAGAAAAAGGAAACTGCACAGCCTAACTGGAGGTGACTCAGCTCCGGTGGACAAAGTCAAAAGCAATGTATCAGACAAAGTTCCGAAACACAAGACCAGACGTCCAGCTGGAGGCAGCAAACAGAGCTGAGAATAAACCCAAATCACTCTTTCTTTACTTAAAGGTTCTAACCCTGGAAGACGAATAGTAAACAACTTTCCACTCATGGAAGCCATTAAGGCACCAATCTGTAAAATATAAAAATGCTACAGACTGGGGCTATTTCATATGCTATAAGTAAATAATATGGTGTGAGGGAGTCAAGACAGGATTTCTCTGTGTAGCCCTGGCTGTCCTTGAATTCCCTCTGTAGACCAGGTTAGTCTCAAACTCACAGAGATCCTGGGATTAAAGGCGCATGCCACCACTGCCTGGTCAAGGGGGGAAAAAAAACACTAATCGCATGTTTTTGTGCATACGTGTGTTTGCACAAGCCATGGCACTCACACGTGGTGGTCAGAAGACAACGTGCAGGGTTCCATTCTCTCCTTCCATCAAGTGGGGTCCCAGGGATCACACTGAAGCTGGGCCCCGTGGCAAGCCCCTTTACCCACTAGGCATCTCCACACTAGGCATTCAGAACAGCTAATTGCATTGTTAGCTTCAGGGGATGGCGGTGACTGGAGTAATAAAGGCTAAGAAGATCCTGAGAAAAGCCAACAGAAGTCTAAGGAAACAGTGGCGGCTCATCTGGAGCCTTGTGAGCCAACAGTTTGGAAATTCAAACCCTTCCACTTCCCAAAAGGAGTCCTTTTCACACTTGACTAGACTCAAGTGGTATTCGCTAATCTTGAGGTCCCAAAGACTTTCTGGAAGACTCTCGAATAAGGCTGGTGCTTAACAAGCACTTGTTCACCTGCTGGTTAATTCCCAGCCTGCTTCTGCTGGAGCAGCAGCCACGGGAGGCTTTTCTTCTTAAAGCTGCTTAGCTCAGGGCTCTAGCGTGGCCTCATTTCTGGTCAATAATCCAACTCAGGATGACCTGGCCATACAAGAATTCCAGAGTGTGGGGGAGTTCATTTAAGAAGGAAGCTAAAATTAAAGTGGAAATCTAACTAGATTGGTTTCCCCGTGGAGTTCCAGGACATGGCATTCTTTGCACTTCAGAGTTTCATAGAATGGAAATGAGCTCTTCCAGCCAGCAGACTACCACAGATTTCTCCACATCCCGACAAGGGGACATTTAAGCCCCTTTGCTGCTTATGTATTTACTTTTTTTAACTGAAGGGAAGAGACAAACTAGACGGTCAAAGGTTGGACTTGACTCAAGGGCGTCAGTGAAGTCATGCTGAGACTCTGAGTTTCTTTGTCCTAAACAAAGTGGCCCCATGTGCTGTCTGGGGATGTCATCTTGCGTCACTTGCCCAACTCTGCCTTTATGAATCTCTCTCAGGAAAGAGGACTAGGGAGACAGCAAAAGGGCTTGAGATAGCTCAGTTGGTAAAGTACTTGCTATGAAAGTGTGAGGATGTGAGTTCAATCCCCCAGAACACACCTTAAAGACTAGTGTGGGGGTCCAGGCTTCTCTTCCCAGCACTTCTGGTCTTGACACACACGTGCACCCATGGATAGACACACACCTCACTAACGAGCACACAGGAAGGGAGACGAGAGCAAACACAGGCCAGGGGCTCTCCTCCCAGAAGTGGGAGCAAAGAGGGCATCTTTGAAAAACTGAGCAAAGAGGGGATCTTTGAAAAACTAAGCATTCACTCTTCCCCCACTTCAGTGAAAGCTTCGGGCAACCTATCCCAACACAAGGCAAAATGAAGCCCATCTGTGATAGGTCCCTACCAAGCAGGATTCATCAACTCCCCGGACCTCAACTTTCCCTAGGCAACAGAGCAAACCTTAACTGCAAATCAAACTCACCAATTCCTGTTCTCTCCAACCCCCATGTCATTGGTTTTGATTCCAGAGGTTGAACCCAGGCTAAGCAGCTCCTACCCTATCACAGACAGCCCCAGCCTAAGCCCTGCTAGAAAGCAAGGCTGTGAGGAATGTTAAAGGTCAGTTTAACCCTTTAGTTTCTAGGTTTGCTTATGGGTGAAGGTGGAGAAAGGACCCAGAAGCAGGCTTTCAGCTGAGGCATGGGCTAAGGCAACCTGCAGATCTGCTGAGCCGTGTCTGAGCAACCCCGTGCTGGAAGTCCACTCCATCACCTGACCCTGGCTTCCCACAGACCTCCCTGTGGCCAAGCATCCTCCTGGTGGACCTTGAAAACAGCTGAAATAACAGGGAGGTTGGACAGACCTTTCTGGCACGGGGCTCTGTTGGTTTTCCAGAAATGAAGCTTCTGGGGGACGAAGGCCAACAAAGACAAAGGAGAAAGGATAAATGCCTGGTTGCAGAGTCCTGCTGTTTCACCAGCCCGTTCGGAGCATGGTCTTGGCCGTGGCAAGGGGCCAGGAGTCACATGGGGATGTACCAGGAGGGGGCCTTGGGCACCAGCTGCCCACGTGTGGTCTAGTGGGCGGTTCTCCTGGCCCCTTGATCATTGGCCCACCACTTTGATCCAGGTACTGTACACACGCCATACATGAAACATGACAAAGTCCACCCCATACCACTTGTTTTACCCCCTAGGGGATGGAGTAAGTGAAATAAAAGCGCTGTGGAGCAAACCAAAGCGGAAAGGTGTCAGATGTGTGGGGTGGGCAGCTGCACAGTCTTTTAAAGGGGTTCGGGGTACTCCCACCCAAAAGGTGGCGTAAGGGTGTTAGGAGGTAGGGAATAATAACAAGCCATGTGGAAAGGGTACCACGGGCAAAGATCTAGTGCAGGGTATATCCAGTCTGTGCCCCTGGAGTAGCTACACACAAAACCATGAACTTCCTTAAAACATTAAGCTTTGTTTTTGTTTTTTTTTTTTTTTGGCAGGGATGCGCAGTTTGTAACTCCATTTTGTGGTTCTGCAGCCTGAACTTCACAGTTGACAAAGTCCCGCCTCACTCACAAGAGATCGACTATGCCTTCGGGTAAGTTCGACAAACCCTTCCTTCTTTTCTTAAGTCCCCTTCACCGGGTATTTTGTTACAGCAAGGAGAAAAGTAACTGATACATCTTTGACAGAATGCCTTTACTGAAGCCAGTGTTGGCACACGCCTTTAATGCTACCACTTGGGAGACAGAAGTGGGCAGTTCTCTGAGTTCGAGGCCAGCCTTGGTCTACAGAGCGAGCTCCAGGACAACCAGAGCTAAGCAAAGAAAGAAACCCTGTCTCCAAAAACAAAACAAAACAAAACAAAAAAGAATGCTTTCACTGAGGTTGGGGAAGTAATTCCACTTAATTCACTAAGACCTTTATTTATGTGTTAATTTATGTATTATGCACCTCAGGCAAGATCCTGTTTTTCCCAGTGATGCCAGGAAAGCCATCACCAGGAGGGAAAGGACATCCTGCCCAGGTTTAGGCC